TTATTATTATTATTAGTTCAACAGCCCTGTTCAGGCTATTTTAAAGCCGAAACACTGAATGTTCTAGAATGGATGAAGACATGCCTCTACATGTGATAGAGATGAAAACCTGGAGATGATACGTACTACTTATCTATCAGCTTTGAATCTACAATAATCAAATCTCAACTGCTTTGAGTGCTTCCCTAACAAAGAATTGCAGTTTCTTCTTGTAAATAAAAACTCAGTAAAATAATTCAATAATAATTACCCACATGCATCGGAACACAGTATATATTGTATAGAACATACACAGGATACACATGAACCATATACAAACTCACCCCCTGGATTCGAAGTTCCTCTTTCAATGGCGCTAAACTGCATTTCTTCCCCAACATGCAACTGTACCATCTGCAAACAACGCATTAACAAAGCATTTTACAAATACAGATCAACTGAAAATGGCAACTACCACAAAGAACTACTTGGATCAGAAACCTCCAAGAACAATAGGAGATTTAAAAACAAAACAACAACAAAATAATCACACTCTGAAACACAGACTAGGACATAGTACAACACGAATCCGAACAGAAGACCCAAAGACAGACTGGACAAGAGAATCTTTTTGAGTTTTGAGGAAATACATTAAGTCTATTACTGCCACAGTGCCTCAACAACAAAGAATCCTGTTTCAAAGACCAGTTATGTGGAAGATGTTACTCCTCACAATAATTTGTTTCAATTTCCCCACTTTCTGTGGAGAATGAATCAGAATAAAAAGGAATTTTCAACTATTGACAAGTATTTATATCTCAGAAGCAGACCTACTGACTACCACTTCTGCTATTTGTAACTCATTATCTAGGTTTCCATCACCTAACCCGTCTTTCACGAGGAAACCAACAAGGGAAAAAAAAAAGAAAAGAAATTTATTTTCCCACTTCTGGTGAAGCTTATCCTTCCACCCAGCTCCACATCTTCATTATCTCCAAACATTACACCTCTGTTCTTCATCTAAAATTACTATTTGAGCTCTAAAATCCCCTCTTCCATACTTTTTTAATGGCTGGATTCAAAAAGGTTATTCATAAATGTAACATATAGAAGTACAAAAATTGGAGTTCCCAGTTATCAAGGGATGGATTCCTCAAGACTATGCATCTAAACTGAAGGCAAGCACTTTAAACTGCTCACATGCACAAATTAAAAATACTGTAAACAAACAAACAAACAAAAGAACAGTATCAGTGGTATTAAGTGACAATTATTTAAATTGACTTCCTGCATAACACAATATACCAGCAATACTTGAATTAAACCCCAGAATTTCTAGCAAAACTAAACCACGCATCTTTCCCAAAATTATAAAATATCAAACCTGTCACTTCTAACTGAAGCGGGGACGGGGGTAAATAAGTCAAGATCATCTCCTGGTCCAAGGCAGTCTCTTTCTACTAACAGTTCATTACTCATGCCTTTTGGTAGAGTTGCCAAAACTTATCTCTAACAAAACAGGAAACAGTATTTTAAGTAAACTGTTCTTTCTCTAACAGATTCTCCAAGGTAGTTTATTCAAAAACATGAACTGAACCATTTCTACCCCTCAAACATACAGTGCTTATTTTTCCTAAATATGATACACAGCTAACGTGTCGGTATGTTCTATGCCTTACGCTATCAATTTATCAGACCAAGGGATACTCTCTTCTTTCCCAGATGAGTGGTGTTGCCAAGAGGAGCAATACAGGAATGATGCATTCCTCATAGTTCCACATCACCTTTTCAAGGCAAAGGCTTCTTGCCTTGAGAGTAACATCAGTCAGTCCTCTACTACATTTGCCACTCCTTCGAAGGTCGTCAAACAGCAGCTTACCAAAAGCAAGCTTCCCCTGGATCTACACACACCACATGGAACCAGAAACCGTGTTGTTATTGTATTTCCAGAAGTCATTACAGATGCATCCCCTGCCCCTACCTTACAGAACCACTGAAGTCCTCAACTGTACACATGCACTTTCCAGGTCACTTTACACAGTACACCACATGCTGCTGTGGAAACTACACTGGTGGAATAAAACCACTACATATCAGAAAGAACAAGTACAAAGGATAGAAACATCCAGTTGTAAGTGGAAGAACATTTAAAATATATATATACGTACCATCATTTCTTCTCTGACCTGCCTCCCCTCACACACTGCATCACTGACTAAATTTGAAACAACTGTTTCAGCTTATATTTAGTTTTGAAAAACCATTACATTTTAGACACACATAAGAGCATACACACCTGAAAGCTTGTCTACATCAAGTAGCCTAAAATAAAAATTCTACCTACAAACTTTGACAGGAACACCAGTCATTTTCCAGTGTCCTTGCTGGCACAAACAAGATGCTAAAAGGTCTCAAAAGTTTAATTCTTCTGAATTCTTCTTGTAACCACTTCTGAACACCCAAACCTCTATTTTATCACTCTGCCATACTATCTATCCCCTTTTCATGTTTTATCAGATTTAGTGGGTGACAGGGAAAGGAAGGACACTAAAAAAAAAAAAAACCAACAAAAAACCCCACCACGTTTCAAGGTTTGCAAAACTGCAACCTCTGCAAACCACCTCAACTTCTTTTTCTTTAAAAGCACTACAAGACAAAAGCGCTTCTAACAGAGCCAAAGGCAGTTTTGTTTTGTCTTGTTTTCCCCAAACTGCATATATTCTTCATTTTTTCAGGCCCATTACTAGAAAACAAACATTCTAAAGAAAAATTTTGGTGTTACACAGATGAAGATCAGATTCTAATGCTATGCTCTGCCTAGAAGAGTCTAAACAAAACAAAATCAAAACACTTCTTGAACACATAAAATGCAGGCTGCATTTCCTTTGCTTAGGGCACTGATGAAGCTGTGGGAATACACACATAAAACTTTTGCAGCTATATTTTAGAAGGACATTAAAAAAAAAAACCTGAAGGAATCTTCCAGAAGAACTAGAAGCATCATGTATAACACCAGGAGAAGGAAAGTCTGATAATCAAAAAAACTGAAGACGTGCCATCTGTTGATCTTGTTCAAAAGATGGTCTCGCTACGGTTTTTATTGTAGCTGATGTTCACCCAAGACAGCATTCAGTACAATAGTGCCCTTTAGTAGGCAAAGCTGCAAGTTACCAAAATTCAGCCAGGAAAAGACAGAAACTTTTAGGTAGCGAACAACCAGGTAATGGCACAAATCCTCCCCCATCCCAGAAGCCCTTAAGAATCAACCCTGACTGTCTCTAGCAAGTATGAGTGCTAATTTAGCTGCAAGCTACAAGTGCCACTGTTACTGGCTTTTTTTGCCTTCCACCTTTAAATTCCTCAAACGATGAGTTGTACCTGATGCTCAAGAACAACTACTTTTACATAAACTGAGATTAATTACTGATGTGTATGTATCACTAAACAAATCAAACAGATATGACTGGACCACAGCTATATTCCTTACTTCAAATACCACTTTCACATCATTTCTGTCAAAGAAGCAGTCAAAAGGTGTGGGTTTTTTAGCTGGACTAAAGCACTTACCGTAACCTCTTTTTAAGTTGTAGACTATCATGAATAATTCTTTTGACAAATTCAAGTTCTCCCCCCTCAGCCATGATTTCTGTGATCCCTCCTGTGTTTACAGAACTGGGAGGGGGACGCCGCGGATTTCGAGAATTTACTCCCTGGATAAAAAAAGAACACGCGAGATGAACATCTAATGAAAAGTTAGGCCACTTCGTACTCTGCTTCCTGCCTCTATCTTTAGTGGGTTGCAAGTGACACCACCTCTAGTTATCCTCCCCTCATGGATAATAGACAAAGATACGTTCAAAATAAGCATAACTGAGTGAATTCCCT